TATCAACGGTCAACTCTAAAGTTCATTGAAGCAGCAGAAATCAGGTTGGGCTCTGAGAGTGACCCCTCTTGACTAATTACCCTAAGACTTTCTTTTGCCCTGGAAACGCTCATACAGCGTCCTTGCCTTTCAATCTTCCCGATACTTCAGCCCGCCCCACACAGGTTTACTTTGAACTTGACTATCTAAACTACAATGAAGTCGTCTGCATGATTAATGGCTATCCCAACGACGGTCTAGTCTATCGAATGTGGGTAGGCGATGGAATGGAGATGTCAGAATGGAACTTTGACGATTTGGCTTCATCGTTTCAGCTAATGGACGAATTGCTATCTAGAACCTACTCTCGAGCATTCTATTATCAACAAGAAAATCGCATCGTCTTCAGCAACCAAACGCCCTATGGGATCTACAAAATTAACTGCGAAGTTACCGTAAAGTTTTTCGAAGAGATCTTCGAACTTTCAGGCAGTATTGAGTTCGAATATATTGGTAAAGAAATTTCCTTTGCTAACAGGGCAAAGTTACTTTTTATCATTATTTAATAGTGCATTCTGCTGACCAATTAGATTTCCTTGTATGGGACACCAGGAAGTGATGAAGGTGGTAAAGCTTGCTGCTCCTAAAATTCTTTCAGACCCAAGTAGAGGTGCTGCAGTTGAATTGAGTATTGCTTTTAAAAGCTTTTAAATACATATTTTACTCGATTTCAGCAATCACTATAAATAGTAAGGCTAATGAAAATATGCATATCCTTCATTATTCATATCCAAAGATGTAAATAAGTACCAAATTTAATTCAATAGATCCCGATCATGCTTTTTCCGCTATTATCCTGTGCATCTTCTGAAAATGCTAGCGAAAGTTGGTAAATATCCAGAAGGCTCAGATTATCGAGCAGTTTCATGTAATATGATCGAGGATCATAGAATCGTCATTAGATCCAAAGAGTCTATAGACGTTCTTTTTGGTTACTTTACCGACTCTAAGCTTAAATGAGAGCATATCCTTAAAAAATATTAAACATTTTTCAGCAAGCCTAAGGATAAGTACTTTTTTATATTTAAAACTTGATTTTGGCTTAAGTGTACTTATCAAAGCCAAAACATAGTGGAAGCAAAATAGGAATTTCTGGTCTTCACTTTCAAAAACCTGGCTTGCATTTATCCTCTTACCTCAGCAACACTATAATATAGCCGGCCTGGAAGTACTGCCAGTTTTTCTGTTAAAAAATGTTTAATCTTTTATTATTTTTAATATTGAATTTGGCCAATAATTAATAATATTTTTTGTGAGTTCGTGAAGAGTGTAACTACGGTTGGGGGAATAATGCTCTTTATGATATCACCTTATATGGCTGAATTATGAGGTTTCTGACTCACAAGAGAACAACACAATATAAAACCTGCAGAGGTTGAGGATCAGCTATTATGAAAGTTATTCCTGATACTCTAAACGATAAAGCATAAGAACGATGATAATTAGGAAATTTCAACCAATTAACAATTATCTAGCACCAAAAATCTTTTAATCTTTCGTTACTTATCAACCAAACGAAGTGAATGTGAATAGTCCATTGAATTGGCTTACAACCATCAGTTAGCTGCCAAATAGCCATAAATTATTGAGTCTTCAAAAAATTGTCAAGGGCATTGGAGATTAAACCATCTAGGAAGGAAGATTAGGAAAAAATACAAATTCCAAAATAAATACAAATTCTTTTTCAATGATTCTATGCAATTATGGTGCTATGATAACAAGGGATTGCAATGGTACGTGGCCCTACCTAGCGC